GTTTCTCCTGCTGCCTTGCCATCTCCACAAATAGCAGGTCAGCTCCAGAATGTCTCCCCAAGACCAATAAATGCAATCCAAACCCAAACTTTGGCCACTGTAAGCTTCTGCCCCTTCGCAAGTTTGGACAACAACTTTTTGCAGCACATCACGCGAGCATTGAGCAACCTCTGCAGATCCCGTGGGTGGATGCAGTGTTTGTGCAGCCCCTGCTCGTGTCTGTGTAGGTGCAGGGTCTGCACTGACCCACTGTGAATGCAATGCTCCCCTCTGTAACAGAGCTGGGAAAGCTGCTCATCTCCTGCCTTGCAGAGCCGTGTTTTAGCCATTAGCCCCTGCCGCCTGTTTGACACCAAGCAAATGTTATTTTAAGCAGGGGTGACTTAACAAATGTTTTATAGGCTTGGTGGAGTCGGCGTATCAGTTGCTGAGCGCACAGAGCTGCATTAAGAATGTCCTGCTTTGCTCTTCTGAATTCTCAGCTCTCTTCTTGGGCTTCTGTCATCTTTTCCTCTTGCTCGTATTCAGAAAACAGTTTATTTTTTTGTCTCATTTTGCTGCTTAGCGTATTCATCCAGACACCATTTACACAGCTTGTATGTGATCTGCAGTTCCAGCAACTCCTTTAAGCAAAGACCAAGGAACTCACCCATTTTCTACTGGTTTCAGCCATCCCATAGATGCTAGTCTGCATTTCGGGCTACAGTCTGGGCTGAACACACGCAGCAGTGTGAAACACTTCAGAGCTGGCTTGTTAGCTGCTCTGAGCACAGCACTTTCTGAAGATGAGCAGCAGTGTGAGAGAAGAGAGGAGGTTGGGAACCTTAAGAGTCCATGCTGGTACCAGAAAGAAAAGATCAGTGTGGACCAGTGCATGGCGTGAAAGGAGCAGTAATGGTGAGGTCTCTATGTGGGCTGGGGTAAAGTTTGTGTTAAAATAATAAGTCAGGGTGTTCTGAGAGAGGGGAAAAAAGGCTGATGTTTCCCTTTAGTGTGGGAGCAGGAAGAGGTTAGAGGCTGATGGCCTGCTCTGGGAAGACCTGCTCTCTAAATGGAGCTTTCTGCCCAGCGATGCTCTGGAGGAGGCAGGCAGAGATTCGCACCCAACCCGTTCCACACCGCTTTGCTAAGCCTTGGCTGATTAACTTCCACACGTGTACTGCCTTGTGCTCGTCCTTTTGTTAGGAGAAATCTCCAGTTCCTTCTCTCTCTGCTGCAGAAGGCAGCATGCAGCCTGCACCGCACTCAGTAACCCTCGGCCAGAGGCAGAACCAGACTGAGCTCCACCTCCCTTCTGGTCACAAGGAATCACATCTTAAAGGTGTTGATTCTTCTTAATAATCCCCGTTAACGAGAAATCACTTACTGCCGATGCTGATCTAAACTGTTGTCAGTGAGATGAGTTAGGAGCGGGGAGGGAGTTGTTTTTCTGTTGTTTTCCTGCCAAGCTTCTCCAGAGCACTTGGGCTGATTCTTGCCTGGACCAAACCTTGTGTTTTCCAGCTCCACAAAGCATGCAATGCAAAATTCCCCAAATTTAAGGAATAAAGTTCTGGCCACAGCTGTGCTCTAGGGACTATGTGGACGTTATTTAGCAATTACCTCCATTTCCCCAAAATTGCTGAAGAGCAGGGATTTGCTCTCAGTCCCTTATGGCTGGCACCTTTATTCGTTATTTACCTTGTTCCCTTACCAGTGGTGTGAGTTTGTATAAACCCACTGTGCACCGCTTGTCTGGAAATGAAGTGGCACAGTGCTGTACTTGCTGCTCTTACCTTCAGATGGAGTGGGAGCACTGAATTCTTCCAAATGAAGCTGGTGTTGGAGGGAGGGAAATGCTGGTGCCTGACTGCGCCATCCAAAAAAGCTGAGGAAAGGGCACTGAGATCAGATCCAAGTGCAAACCTTACTAAAACCTCTTTCCTTCTTCCCTAAGCTTACTCCCAAACACTGAGAGGATCTCCAATTTCAGGCTCCCTGGGGAGGAACTGCTACCTTGTGCCTTTCCCTGGAATGATGCCTTCTAAGCACAGTCTTTTCCATATTTCGTTATAGACCTGAAGCCCTTGGGGCTCACAGTCACGTGTCAGGTTGGATGCATTCAGTTTTTCTATGCGTCAGTGAGAGCTGGACTCAGGAGAGCATGTCATGGTGTGTGTGTGTGTGTGTGTGTGTGTGTGTGTGTGTGTGTGTGGCAGCCTCAGTGCCACCAAAGTCCTGGGGAAACCTCTCACATCTTGACCCCACTGACTCTGGGGCTGCTGGGCTGAGGCAGAGCCAGTAGCAGCATGTGAGGCCAGCGAGCCCCCACGTCCTGGGCATTCATTCCTAATGGAGGTTAATTTGATCGTGCTTCTCCCAAGCCCAGCTAATGGAAGGTCTCTCTATCCATGCTTCTTGCTGTGGCTGTTGGAGCAGGGCTAAGCACTGCTCTTGGCTTCAGCCAGCTGTGCATGGCTGCTGCTCCAAGCCCTGGCTTTGCCCGCTGTGCATCTGCTCGTGATGCAATCCCTGCGTGGATGGAGAAGTATGAGGAGGAGGGGAGCGTGTGAGCAGCCCAGGGCTGGGGTTATGTCCATTCCACTTAGGAATGAGTGTAGCACAGTTCTGGCAATTGGACCCAAAGTCAGTGCCCAGAACAGAGAACATTGGGCCCTGCTCCACTGACAGCTGGAGTCCCTGATAGCTGGAGCTCTGAGATATTCCTGGAGGAAATAAATGTGTAGAAATGAACATGTGAGGAAGGATGTTTGGAGTATGTGGAAGTGAGATGGATGCTGTGTTGATGTGTAGAGTTACTTTTGTTCTGGATTCTTCCTGCAGTCCGTCCTGGTAGATCCCTTAATAAAGGTCTAGGGCCATGCTCTGAAAGCAGGAATCTGTATTTTAGGCTATTTTGATGTTTTTCTTCATGTTAACTCAGGACTTGTCCTCATCTCCTGGGGTCTTGCTGTCAGCTGTATTCCTGGCCAAGCTCAGTAGCAGCAGCATGGTCTGACTGTGAATGGTGCCAGCAGGGCAATAGCATTGTGCACACTTTGCAGATAAGGCAAACTGAGGCACAGAATTGGCACCTGGCAGCGGCAAAGCTCAGACCTTGCTCTTTCCCGGGGGCTCTCAGGAAGATAGGCACCCTCTGCTCAAATAGAGCAGGAAGTTTCCTGTCTAACCTGCTCACTCTCTCTCTACCACCTGCTGGGTTCTGCGAGTCTTTCTACCACAAAGTGTGTGTGAGGAAGGCAGTAGTTAGCAAACAGCCAGTAGTCTTGGGGCAGGAGAGATTTCGTGAAGAAGCAGCCTTTGCTGTCTCCACATTTAGAGGTGGGCAGCTGTGAGTCCGTGCTCTGGTTCTCATTTCTGGTGTCACAAAGCTGGCATTCTCTGCCAGGTGAGTGCCCAGAGGCAGGTCCCTGCGGGGTGACCGATGCCCCCCCCCCCCTCCCCCCAACCCCCCAGCCATCAGCATCTTCACTCCAAGCAGCGTTAGGGGCTCTGGGAGCAACACCCAGATCTCTCCTTCCATTAACAGAGATAGAAAGGAGATGGGAGCCCCTTATCTGTGCGATCCTATCCGGGCGTGTGTGCGGTCGGTCCCTTTGGGAAGAAGGGGCAGGACTGCAGAAGGCTCCATTCACCCGCAGCCTCTCATCCCTGTCCCAGGGCCACAGCCACCCTGTCTCCATCCCTGTTTACTGATGGGACCGATACGGCCAAGACAGGAGAGGTTGCAGGTTCTCCTAATCGCCTTATCGCCGGGCCGGACAATCTCAGACACTCAGAGGATGTTTTGACTGCGCTGAATTACAATGTTTGTTGTTTCTCACTCCCAATAATTGACATTTAATAGCGACTACTGTAAAAGCGGACGAGGGGCCGGGGCTGAGCCAGAAGAGACGTGGGAGCCGAAATGGGGAGCACCATTCACTGCCCCTGAGCTTTTTGGGGCCGGGGGTGTTCTGTCCCTTGTCCTTATGGGAATGCATGCAGTGGGAGAGCGGGCAGGAGCCGACCCGGTGCTTTATGGCTCGGAGCTTTGCCACCCTCGTGTTGCCTTTCCGTGTCAGGAAGAAATCCGTGCCTTCACCCCTGGCCCTAAAGTGTCCAGGGGCAGCAAGTGGGGCTCCCCACCTCCCAGAGCCCCCCAACAACTCTCCCGGCCCTTCCCGCGGTGGAACTGAAGGGGACAAGGCACGACGATCCTGCCTGGGTTGGGGGGGAAAGGTGGGGAGTTTAGAGCAGCTTTTAAATCGCTTTTGAAAGTACATTAACGCACGCACCAAAATGGGAATCGCCGCAGTTACTGAAGGGGTACAGAAACGGAGAGGAGGGGAAAAGTAATATAAAAAGGTGATCGGGGGCGGCGCTGGGAGCCCCGGGGGCCCTCGGTTGCCCAATGAAGGCCAGGGACGCGCAAGGTGAAGCCACTCTCTTTAATGACAACTCGCTGATCTCCGTCAGCTCGTACAGCAAAGGGAAACACGTCCGAACGGGCAGCGGGGCGAGGAGCGGGCAGTGCATCTGAATCCTAACTCACGTTTTAGTGCATAACCCTACGGGGAGCGGACGGGGCGAGTCGGAGCGCCCGGAGCTCGGAGGGGCCGTCCCCGTCCTGCGCTGGGACAGCGACCGCGGGGAGAGCCCGGGCTGGATGGGAGAGGGGGAACCGGGCGGGAAGTGCAAAATTAAATGTGGTTCTCAATAATAATTAGAATGAGAGTTAAAAAAAAAAAAAAAAAAAAAAAAAAAAAAAAAAGAAAGAAAAAAGAAAAAGAAAGAAAAAAAGAAAATAATAATAATGAGTTGTAGGGCTTGGCTTTCCGTTGTTAAGGAACAAGTCAAGCGAAATGACCGACCGTTCTGTAGGAAGATGGGGAGAGGGGAATGAGCAGAACGAACACCGTGTCCCAGAGCCTCGGGGAGCTCCCCGCTGTCCCGCACCGAGCTGCCCTCGCCCCGCAGCCCGGCGATATCCCGACCCCCCCGCGCAGCTCCGGGCCCGGGCCGCCCTACCACGCTCGGATCCCGTGCAACGTGGAGATGCCCGCGTTCCCCTGCGGGATGGGCGGCTGCACCGAATTCAAGTCCCCCACGCTGAAGTTCATGAAGTTGTTGCCTGCCGCCGAGGGCTGCACGGGCTGCACGGCCGGGTAGCTGCAGTTGTAGTTGGCATTGCAGGCGGGGCTGTTGTAGTTGGGGTACGCGGGGTAGGCGTTGTAGCTATAGGGGTTAATGCTGACATTGTAGGGCGAGCTGTAGGGAGAAGACTCCCCCAGGCAGGGCTTCCCGTCCCGCACCAGCACCGGCACCGCTATCCGCCGGGGGGGGTGGGATCCCCACCATCTCCAGGGTCTGGTCCTGTCTCTGCCTTTTGCATTTGTACCTTCTATTCTGGAACCAAATTTTCACCTGAGTAGAGGTGAGCTTTAGGACGTTCGCTAGATGGTCTCTCTCGGGAGCCGAGAGGTATTTCTGCTGCTTGAACCTTCTCTCCAGTTCATAGACTTGGGCTTGAGAAAAGAGGACGCGGGGTTTCCTCCTCTTCCTCTGTCTGGGCCGCTCGGGATCCTCCAGCTCTCTCTTCTCCTGCTCCAGGCTCTTGTGTAGGGAACACAGTTCTGCAGCAAAACACACGGACAAAGGAAAAACAGGGAGAGCAAAACATAACAAAAGGCAAAGCGGTGTTACTGACCCGTGTGCACCGCCAGGGAACCCTGCTCAGTCCCATCCATGTGGGGTCTGCAGGGCAGCAGCTCCATCTGGGGCTTCCGAGCATCTTGTGAAGAATTTGTGGTCATTATTATTATTACTGTTATTGTTATGTTTGCTTAGGGTTTTTGTTTTTGTTTTTGTTTTTAGGACTTGTTTGCTTGCTTTTGTTTGTTGTAAATAAGGCTCAGTTCATCCCTTTTGGTTCTGCCACAATTTGGGCTTGGATTTGTCTCATATTTGGATTAGTCTAGTCTTTGGATTTAGCTCATATTTACATCCCTTTGTATTGAATCCCACCCCACAGAGATATACTCGCTGTGCTCGTTAGAAAAAGATTCGCAGCCTCGTTGCTTTCCGCTGAGGCCTCGCGTCGCCCTGCGCCTCCCCTGCCCCGTGCCGCAGCCCCAGCCCCGCTCCCGGTGGTACCGGGGCTCTCTCCCCATTGTGGCACCTCGGAAGGCCTTCGGACGCTCCTCGCGAGCTCCCGTTCGCCTCGGGCCCCTGGGCCGGGCTGCAGAGGGCCGAGCGCGATGCCGCAGCCCCGGGCTGCAGTGTTACCTTTCTTGTCCGCCTTGGAATCCTTGGCCGCGTCCATCTCTCCGTAGCTTTTCACGTAGTAGGGGCCGGGAAAGGCGGCGGGAGGTTTGGCCGGATGCGGCTCGGGGAGCTCGGGCAGGGCGGGCGGCTCGGAACCGAACGCCTCCTGTTTGAAGGTGGCCAACATGCAGGAGGGCGAAGAGAGCTCCATAGGCGCCAGGCCACCCTGCTGCTGCTGCTCCAGGTTCAAAATATCCTTGACCGAGAAGGGAGTCGTCGTCACAGGGCTAGGAAACATTGCGGAGGAGATCGGGGCAGCGGCCGCAGCCCGGGGTCATGGAAGGGGAAGAGAGGAGCGGGCGGCCCGGAGCGCTGCTGCAGCGTGGGCTGCCGGGGGGGGCACATAGCATCCCGCGGGAGGCGGCCCTGTGTGCTGCGCGCAGGTAGGAGCGGACCATAAGGGACGGGAAGGAGGGACTAGGCAGTTTTTGGGTGACTTTAGCTTTCTATTGGCCAACATTGCCGTGATGGTATGAGAGATGCAAAGTTCCATGTCACCTAATATAGTAATACATCGCAAAAACATCTCCGCTCATTTAAAGGGGCGGCACTGTATTTATCCAGCTTTCCCCGCTCAGTTTGTTGATCCATTAAAAAAAAAAGAAAAAAAGAATAACACTCCCGAGTGGCCTGATGTGTACAGAGCCCCTATCTGATGCCATCTATCATACAGTCAGATTAAATAAACAGGCCGGGAGGAAACCATCAACCAAATATGTGCTGTTT